GAGGGGGGGTGGGGAGGAGAGGGGGAGGAAGGGGGCAGAGGGGGGCCGAAACTTCCAGAGGAAGAGTCTTCCTCCCTCTATGCATGAGTAGAGGAGAACGACCTCCCTCCTCACCTTGAGTGCGATGAACTTCTCCGGGATGATGACGTGCATGTCTGCCACCGCCTGACGGAACATAAGGAGGAGGCAAAAACGCAGACGCGTCAGGCACCGGATGGTCGAAGTACTCGTACACCGAGAGGTCAAACTGCTCGATCTGTACAAAGAGAGTAAGCGGTGCGGCAAGGAAGGAAGAAAGCTTCAGAACGAAGGGAAAGGGAAGGCGGGAGAGAACAGGCAGGAGAGAAAAGGGATAGAAAGATAGGACAGAAGTTAGGAGTTGATCGTGGTTTTAGGAGGGACAGTGGAGGAGCAACTCAAGACTGATAGGTCTAGTACCTCTATCAATCTTTCGTTCTTCGCTTTCTCAACTCCCTGCCGCAAACCATAAGCCCACCTACCTCCACAGCTACCTGCCTCGCAGACCTGTAGGACATCTACCACATCCAGCTAAAAGACTTTGGTCAGCCGGAATATGTCTTCGAGCTGAGAGAGTATCTCACCTTCCATGATTCCTTCTCGAATGAAGCGTCTTGATACTGCTCGAGATAAATGATAAACTCAACACGATGAAGGATAAAAAAACAGGTAGAAAGGGAAGGGAGGGAAAGCAGGGAGCAAGGGAGAAAACAAAGGAAGTTGCTAACCTGAAGAAAAGGGTTCGAATCCTCAAAATCAAAAGGCAACCAGGCTTCCTGCATGAAGAGGTCAACGAGGGTGAATGGAAGGAGTAACGAGATAGGAGTAGGAGAAGCAGCAGTAACACAGCAACAGACGGGAATGACGCGGAGAATCTATAGACCTCTGCTGTATAGTTCTCCACAAGGATAAGGTAGCAGCCAAGTAATGTGACAGCATTGGTCCTAAGCCGCATATCCGCGCTGAAATCTAAGTGAGCAAATGACAAGAAAAGACGAGCAAGGATGAGCAGGATGGGCGAATGGGATGCAACAGCACTGGGAAGCAACAGAACAAAAGAAGATGAGGTAGATTCTGCGACGTGCAAGTCCGAAATCTTGCCTGCAGAAATAAACAACTTTCATGTCCCTTGACAAACTCTCATCCAGCTTTGACCTGAGCAACAATCAGCAACAAGCGTGAAAACCAACTTCAACCCACTCAAGCAGTCGAGCAAACTTGTAGATACAAGCGATGTTCAACGGGCCGAAGTCCTGACATCTCTGTCAGCATGAATGGCGTCTCAGGCACCTGCTGCTCACAGCACAGAAAGGATAGTAGAGCAGGAGATTGTCCGTCGAAAAGAAAGTCCTGGGAACCAGTAAGGTCACTTTATTGCAATGGGTCGCCCCCTCGTCTCCTCACCGGTCAGGTTTGACTCCCCTCTCTCTCGATCTCTGTGGTCCTGGTCAACCAAGAAGAGCATGCAACACATGCCGACACCTGCAGCAGCTCCTCCAACTTCGATTCATCTCTCAGAGACATGAAGTAGAGTTGGCCTTCCTTCCAAGTCAGTGACGCCCCGCCAGTTGGTCACCAGAGCTAGCATCACCTTCCAGCACAGGATACTGCTTCCCCAGCATCCACTTCTTCGGACGAGAGACTAGTGGCAGCGCGTCCGATTGTGTTGGCAACCCTCCATCAGTTGGCACGACCGACTACAGGCCGTCCGATCAGTCAACAGCAAGGAGCTGAGTAGAATCCCCACATGGTTTGCATACACGCTCGAATGAATCGTCAAGTCTTCTGTTTGCCTGGAGCATCAAGCATCAGCCTAGTGGATGAATATTTGAACCTCTCCACACACCTTTTCAACAGGTTCTCTCGCTCCCTGATGGCATCTTGGCATGGCAATCAGCAACAAGTCTCCACAAGGGATAGAGTACCAGCGTTCAACTTGAACTTGCCAAACTTCTTCCTAAAAGGCGAATCGAAATCCTCCGATCCCTTTCTTTCCGAGCTATATCATACCCGTCATCTTCGCCAACAAACCAGCCCAGCTGGCTGCTGGCTTACCTCTCGTTCGAACCAACCATTTCACCGTCACCGGCATGGTGCGACTGGAGGGAGAGGAACGGTCATGAGCTACGGCAGGACACGATTTCACGTCACCTCTCCATCAGCATGCTGGCCCATGTCCATCCTAACCAAGACAAAAAGCGACAAAGGTACCAACTACAAACAATTCGAAAAGCAAGGGGTGTACTAAAAAGATCTGCCGATGTGCCCTCTCCACGGCATGTTACATGCTTATCATAGACTTCTCCTCATTCCCATAGATCCACAAGTCTGTGACGATAACAAGAAACGGAAATGTCAGAATTTTGTTGCAAACACGACCAAAAATAATAAGGAGATTTCAGAACAAAATCCATCGAGCGGAGTTTCATCACTATGCACCAACACCCAGAAGCATTGATATGATAACTCTGTATATCCTTCTCAACAAAAAATCTAGTTGCTGTTGTAATTTTGCAGCTGTTCGAGTGCTGTTTTTACATCACCACTCACCCATTTCGTACTACCTGCTACCAGCGCGGTCTCTGGAAGATGCCCATTGCAACCATGAAATCTACACCATTCATCCAAGAAGACAGTCTGCTTCTTGTTGACATGAGGTCCATCTTCTTCTCTTCATCTCTTCTACTTGCATGATCCTCATCCTGAATGCTCTTCCTCGTCCTCGCCTTCCATTCTCCCAATGAACATGCTGCGATCCTCCATCGACATATCGAACCCCCACCCCCACTCCAGTTTTTTAGTACCCCTACCCATCAAATCTAAGTAACCACCCTACCTACTTACTTATCAATCAGCTCAGTCCAACAATTGCCCCTTTGACCCCATCCACCACAGACTTTTGAACCCCCTTTTTCCTTATTGTTTTACCCCACCTCTGAACTCCACGAGAACGCCTTTATGTACCCTCACCCCCTTAAGTCTAAGGCTATGTTCACCCTACCCACCCGAATCACCCTGGTTCGCTGAAGGGGTTACCTGACCCCACCCACAAGAATTCCTTCAAGTACCCAGTCTGCAACCCAGCTCTAGGTACCCCTGTTGAAGCCGTGCACTCTATGGTGAAGACGGGGTAGTACATTGGGCTGCTGGGGGGGTAGACCCTTCAAGAATTACTTGTAGGGTTGAAATCCTCTCGTACCGGTACCATACAAAGAAAATATCCACAGATAATGGTGGGTAGGGTCCTCCTTCTGGAGATACGCGATGACACAAATTGGTAGGGGTAGGGAAACCATGAGTTCATAACCCACCCCACTAAGATTGAATAGTTCAGTATGACTAGAAGGGGTGAAAATGGTGATTGGTAGTACCCTACCTACCCTTGAGCCACACTTTTTGCCCCAGAGATACCGAGTTGGCTACAAGTATTTATATAGATTTATGGTACTTTAAAAAAGCATGTTTTAGATAATTACAATAGTAAGGTATCAGAATGGTCTACCATATAATTTTAGTTGAAGTTACTGTGATATAATTTAAAAGTGTGTTGTTGTCTCCGGTACTCTTTACAAACTTTTATCCTGGCCTCCGACATCATGCGGCTAAATACTGAGGCCCACGGTGGTTGTATCACTGCCCGGCTCAGCTAGTAGCCTCCCCGGCGGGCCGGACTCCCGCCGGGAGTCGACAGGTCGACAGCGTCCATGGACTCCTGCCGGGTGTCGGACAGCTGGTCACGGGTTGGACAGGCCGAGTCCGTCATCAGGCAGACGGACCGTACGGTCGGACTGAACTTGGAATGGAATCAGGGCCGCATCAGTGATCGGATCGGGACCGGCGCCGGTAACTTGCCAACTTGGCAACCGTGACCGTGCCGCAGTGAGGCAGTACTACCGTATGTCACGCACACTGGCCACAGGAACGGCCCATCATGGCACTCAGTGCAAGAACCTCAGCGTAGAATTGAGACCGAGTCTTGAAACCCACAGTAAAATTTTAATCATTGTCGTGTAATCAGGCAAGGACCGCGTATTTCGGTACGAGGTCAATATTAGAATACAGGCACACATTTAAGATTAAATAAGATCTAGAGGTACAGCACAACTCGTCAAGTTATCATGTGTTAACATTATGTCACAGGCTCTAACAGCTGATGGGCTCCATCGCTGCTGCAACATTGCAAAGTGACAACAACGATGCAACGGCACACTCAGTCTCTCTCTTGACGTCGCTCTTGGTGTATTCGGTCTCTGGTGCGCGATTCAGGCTGAGAGCGGCGGTTGTCTTCTGAAGGATAGGAGAAAGCTTTGATCGTTTTTCTGGTGATGACGGCTGGTCTCTTGGGGTACAGACCGTCGGCGAGACAGACCCGTCGCTCTGTCGGTCGTCGTGGGTCTGCAGCTGAAACCCGTAGCGAAGCTTCGAGGACTCCAAGGGACTATCGGCCGTACGCTTGCCAAGGAGTGATCCGATGGAGGGCATTTTTGACTCAGTGTCGCTTCCAGGCTCGGCCTTGCCGTCATCCTGACCAACGCCGGCATAGTCCGATGGGTCAAAGTTTGTGACGGTTCCCTTGCCGCGGTATTCTGAGAGGAGAGTCACTACAGGCGTAAAGCAAGTTCAGAATCTTACCGATCGCCTTCAAGTCCCACGCCTTTGCAGCTTCCTCTGCTGTCGCAAACGTTCCGAGGTGAATCTTCTGCCCATTAACAACGATTCTAGCCTTCCAACGTCCATACGTCCCACTGGTAACGTAGAAGTCAGCTTCGAACAGTCTTGCCTCAACAAGATATAACCTGTGGTAAACCCCGCGAAATGTCTTGTGCCCAGTTCCCGAGCCATCCTCATTCTTTCCCGCATTCGCGCTAGCGGTAACGTCCGGCTGGCATACAGTTAGAACTTGTGCGAACAAGCATCTAAGGCGGGTCTACCTTGAGAGATCCATCCGGATTGAGGTAGTCTGACAAACTAAAGTTCGTCACGGCGGCTTTGCCACGCTCTTGTACAGCAGCTCTGTCCCAGGCCTTTGCAGCTTCTTCAGCAGTAGCGAACGTTCCCAAATGGACAGTTCGGCCACGAGTGCTGAGTTGAGCCCTCCATCGGCCATTAAGTCCAGAACGCGACACGCCAGTATACACAGGAGCTTCCTCAGTGTGTACATTACTCTTATCCTGCGTCTTGTCGTGGTTGTGGTTGGTGCTGAGCGAAGAGGGTTTGGAGGGCGAGAAGCTCATGCGATGATCCTGTGACAGAGAGTTGTTGAAGGCGAACCGAACTTGAGGAGTTGTTGGAGTGGAGCTGGGAGGGCTTGAATCCGAGGAGCCCGATGGAGGAGGAGTGCGAAGCTCCGAGTTCTGAGCATGGGTCGCAGTATAGATGCTATTGTTTGAGGTGTTGCGAGCCTGATTGCTCTTGGAAGCAGCGGAGAAATTCTCATTGGACCATGACATGCCTAGTAGAGTATTGAGAGGAGACGTCTGAATGGGCGCCAGTATTTGCTTCTGAAGACTCTTGGGCACTGGGAGTGACGCCAAATTCTGGATACCATGGCAAGAATTTGCAAGGCATGCAGGGGTTTGAATGGACGACAGCGACGGGAGGATTGGAGGATTCTGCATCTTGCGCGTGTTGGGAGAACTACTGTCAAGAAGGTACAGGAGAGGAGGGGGGGGGGCTAACTTTCAGAGTCGATGGTGGAGCAGGGAGGGAGGAGATTGGTGAAGGCAGGAGGGACGGAGGAGTCAGGATTGACGAGGGGGAAGGAAGGAGGAAAGGGGAACGGGTGGATCGCCACCAGGGGTGGATTCTGCAAGGGGTGGGCAGGGCGCAAAAACTGGTAGGGTTGGGTAGTGACCCCTACCCTTTTTCGACTGGTAGGCTGGGATCTTCAAGGGATACGCCTGCCTGACAAACAAAAGAAAGCAGCTGCCAAGTTGCACTCTACACACTTGTACTTTTTTGGGATCCTCAAGTGATATGCCTTGGTTTTTTTATCGACTACAAAATCAACCCACCAGATCCCAGGGCTCATTACGCGGAGCTGGGTAGTCTTAAATTAGGCCAGACGACCTAATGGGGTAGGGGTGAGGGTGATCACAGGGGGTACCACAGAGATGACAAAACTTTGGGCAGCAGCAGCTCGAAATCGGGGTAGGGGTACCTGTGGGACCTGTAGCAAGTGCGTGGCCCCCGACGCAGAGCCCCTAAAATCTTTTAGAACTTTTAATTGTCGAAACAACATATTTTCAAGTAATCAAGGGTGTGTATAATATTTTAACCTGATCCAAAAGACATCATTTAATCATATTACGGCTCTTTTCGGAACGTAGCGCCCTAGAGGCTAAACACACCCGGTGATATTACCGGGATATATGTGTAATTCTGGGGGTAGGGGTAAAGGGGTGGTATCTCGCATCAGCGTGATTGTACTGGCATGCTGGGAGGATCAGAACGAGGGAGGCTTGTGATCACCAGGATTCGGGGGTAGGGTGGTGAGTGTTTAGGGGTACACTCCTCAACAATTCAGTGGGGGGTAGTGGGGGGTATTCAGGATGGTGGAACTATTCTGGTAGTTCAGAAGCAAGGAAAATCCCAGATATTGGGAGGGTGGGGTCATAAATTTTTTCTTGATCTGAGATTGAATATGAGTAGTATGACAGCTGATGATAATCCTGCACCTATAAAATCGTGGACCTAGAGCAGTATACTTGTCTCCAACGCTCCGCCTAGTCAAACAAGGATACAAGGGTGGGTGGTGTTGGTCTGACTGGTTGGATCTCACACGGGTGCAATCTTTTTGCATAGGTAGGGTGTTGCCAGGCAAGGAGGGGTAGTCGAAAAAGACGGGGTTAAAGATCAGTGGTGAGCATTTTCCTAGGGACCAATGGGGTGGTGAGAGGGATCAATACAAAGGGCTAAACCAGGAGTGATGATGACTTTCAATTAGAGGTACATACGAAAGATCTCCGATCATGAAGGTGGGGTTGCAGACTTAGATTCCCAGTGCATCAGTTGGGGGCGCAGAGAGGCGTTGAAAGGGGGTGGTGTTAAAGTCTGGAAAAGAAAGGGGGTACGCACAGAGGTTTTCCACGGGTGCCGCTTGTGTAATGGGGTAGGTAATATGTTTGCTCCAGAGGACGGGTGGTGGTTACGAAAGTGGTGTGCATTTGTATGAAGTCGACGGGGCCAAGGCGTAGGGGTGGGGGTGGCTCAGTGTGAGTCCTTGCTTGCGTGTCCATTGCTTAGAGCCAAGCTGAGGGGGTACAGAAATTGACACACCGGTACTTTGATGTCTCAAAATTGGGGTAGTCTCCAAAATGAGAATTAATTTTTAGGGGTGGGTGGGGGAACACTTGTAGCGACTAGGAGCAGGTACCAGGATCAACTGCTTTCGTTTCAGTACACTGAAGACCAGGGGTATTAATTCGAGCTCTACACGGGGTGGTATATCTTTGAAGAAGAGGGAAGCATGATATGCAGTTTTACCTATGGTAAGCCATATAACTTCACACTTCTTTGAATAGTTAAAACTGGAGACCTTGTTCTGGAAGGGCGTATCTCGGGTACTCGTGAGGTAGGGTAAAGGTCAGCACTGCAGGAAGAAGGTAGCAGGAGTAGGCGGATATCCAGTAAAGGGTAGAGGGTATTTGAATACCCCTTATTTTCAGCTTGAACTGATGTAAAATTTGGGGGTAGGGTGCAACCAAGGTGTAACTATGAAGGGTTAGAGGTAGTAAACTCTCCATGGGAACAACACGGAAGGTGGGGTACGAAATACTTTGGAATAGAAGGGGTAGGGTGCTTGAACGAAGGGGGCAGTATCGTGGAGGTCAGCCTCCGCCTCAGAGAAATCATTTGGGAGTCACCACTACCTGTACCTGGTAGTCCGTAGCTCAAGCCAGGGGAAAAGCAGGGGGTAGGGTGAAGGCGTAATGCGAGACTCCCGGGTCTCAACTCACTGGCTGAGTCATGCAAGGCTAACGGTCGCCTGAGTTCCAAGTTCTTCCGTTGACGGTCGGACTTCTCCTTAGAGGGCCCTCCTCCCCCTGACAGTGAGGCTCCGGGACTGAGTCCCGCCCGGCGCGCGCGGTGGCGGGCCGGGCCGCCGGGCCCTGAGAGGCGGCTGAGGCCCTCAGTCCTTTACTCTCAGTTAAAACGGCGGCGTTAACTTAAGTCGGAGTACGCCCCATGCCCTGTCCTCGTACTGATTTTTAACTTAACTTTGAGTAAAAGGTCCCCATGCCCCATGTTCATTCCGAGTCGGAGCCTCCGCCGTCGCCCTCTGCATCGAAGGAGTGATGAGCAGGGCGAGCCGCAGCAGCGATTCAATGATAGATGAGGCCAACCATGCTGATAGGCTGCGGCTGGAATACGCAAAACTCAGTCGGTGCTTTTTGTCATAACAGAGTGAACAGATTGGTGCTAAGAGATGAAGTGAGAAGATCATCGACCGGAAGCCTTTATTGATCTTGCAGTTTGCATGACTCACTGAGAAGCTCGAATGCTGTTCCAGGCATTACTGCTGCCGCTCTGCGGAAAAGGTCAGCATGGCCGGTCTGTTTCGGAGTTCATTGCCGCATCATCATGGTTTCCGCGTTGAAGGCTTACCTCGAACTTGAAGCTTCCTTGGTGAGGGAGTTGAATCGGAGGAGACAATCTCACCCATCGGCAAGGAAGAGTACGCTGCCATGGCCGCTTGCCACGATGGCGTCAACCGTTGAACAAGTACGGTAAGAGGGTTTGCAATACCGATGCCAGTATGGCAGCGGCGGCAGAATCATCGGAGGTCGGAACGGATTGGATGAAAGGATGATCAGGCTCCGACAAATGTGCGTCGGACTCTACTTGAAGTCCCGGGCACCGCCGGGCAGACTCCGATCCGACCGACGGTACCGTACTCACCGTCTGTGATTGGATGCCGCCAATCCATATGATGACAGTGCCCGATCAGTGTCACGGTCAGTCGAAGTCGACGGCGAGGCGGCCGGGCGGCGGCCGCCGGAGGTAGTACGGTGGCGTAAACATCCGATGATCGCCGCCGACTCTGTGACTCCGAGTCACGGAGTAATGATCGGACGGGCTCCGCCGGACTCCCGGATGATACCGGCGGCGGTGGCCCCCGCAGACCATTGGACCGTGTCACCCGAAGCCCGGTGCGGCCAGGCCTGGCACACTGTGCTGCGTACGGGCTAGTAGGCCAGTGGCCGCAAGGCCAAGGATCGGATCGGATCCCGGGCCCGGCGGAGTCCTTAGATCCTGACGATGCTGACCGGCCGCCCCTGCTGTTTGTGGTCACCCCGTGTAGTAAACGGAGATCCGAAACTTGAAACGGGGGCCTGCGACCAACTACTACTGCCTCAAAGGGGAAATGATCAGTTTACAGGAGATTATGCTGATCTAGGATTGATGCCTTTTCGTTCTTGATATGACTACCTCCGAGGCAGGCTGTGAAGAAAACAGTTTGTTTTTTTTTGCAAGAGGGTGTTGTAAACGATGTTCCTAGCGACCAGGAGTTAAATGCCCTTGTGACCGACGACGCCAACCGTTGTGATATTCAGACAAGAAGGCCCTCAACCTCGACGATTCGTCCTAACCCACGTGACATCAGTTGAAAGGATGGCGCAACAAGAAGGGCGGGGACGTGATGAAAACGGTCGTAAGCGTTGCGAATAAATAACAACTCCTCTCTCCCTGATCCGCACCTCTCCTCCTCCCTCTCCCATCCATCACCTCCTCTTCATCCCCTCCCCCTCCGTCCATCTTTCCCTCGCATCCTTCTCCTCGATCTCCATCCCCATGACGGAAATCTTTGAATCCTCCAATAACAGGACAACAACTGCACACCGACGATGTACCCTCATCTGCCCTGATCCCTCCTCCCGCTCATTCTGTCTGGATCAACAACAGCGTCGCCGTAAAAGCTGGGCTCGAGGGTCCTTCTCAGCAAGCTGCACCAGCATCTCCCTCCCCGACTCCTCCTCCGCCCCCGTCATCACCCTCACTCATCGAGCATGCCCCGCTTGGCTCCTCGGCGTGGCGTGCATGGGCCCGCAGTTTCGATCCATCGACCAGCATGGCAGTCTGACCGACGGAGGAGCGTACGAGAGGCTGGGAAAGAGCGCCCGAGGGTCTCTAGAGAGGTCCATCAACCAGGACGGGAACTTCACGAGCGTGAGGCTCCCGACATTTCACAAGTCAGACGGCGGGAGAATCTTCACAGACCGCCGACTAGGGGAAGAGAGCCACGGAGAGGTGATGATGTATGAGGGAGAGGAGGAAAGGAGGTTGTCTGGGCGGTACTTCTTAGAGTAGAGATGTTCCTAGCACTATAAGTCAGAGTGAACATCATTAGACATGAACATTATTGTAATATACCCTGTGTATTTTCCAATCGCTTGCAAGTTCTAATTGCATCGAAGACTTGATCACGTGGAGATGAGGGCATTGAAAAAGAACAACCTCCTTCCGACTTCTTCCGAAGTTCTCGCCCGAGTGACTGGCAGGCCATACATGCCGCCGTCACTGACGCCGTGCCGCGAGGGTGGAAGGCTCGATCCGATCGGAAGTTCCGACCGAGTCATTTTTAACTCCGGGCCTGAGTCGCTTTGAGTAACCTAGTAATCATTGGGGAACCCGCAGCAACGGTTGAACCCGGACTCCAGTGAGGGTTCGGCCGACCGGGTCGGCCGCGGCGGCGGCGGCGCGGCCCGACGGTCGGACCGTACACTCAGTGTCCGGCGTCCGGCTGCCACCGTCACTCAGCAGAGTCACCCAGTTGAAGCCTCCGTAAGTTTGGGGGCGACAGCAGTCGGCAGGATTGGGTTTGGTTCCGAGGCTCGGGCCGGGCTGTCTTTTCTCTTCTCGCCGTTTGGCCTGTGCGACAGTGTCAGGGTCAAGCCTCCTCGCCGAGTCGACTATCCTGCCAAGTTGTCCTCGTACTGATTTTTCACTTCACTTTGACTCTAAAGAGTCACTCAGCCGCTCTGGTACTAGGCTCCGCTCCGCCGTCTGTCTGACAGACAGACGGCGGAAAATGTCAACGCTATGGGCGCCGGGAGCCCCGGAGGGCTGCGGCCTCCCAGGCTCCCGGACCGGGAGGCTCCGTCACCGTCCACGGTTCGGCTGTCAACCGTGAGCGGCCGCGCGGAGCCTCGGAGGCTCGGAGCCTCCGGCGGCAGCCTACGGTGCCGGGTGGGCGCGGCCCGGGCCGCGCGGCGCCCGATCGCCGGGACCGTACAGAGTGACGCCGGTCGTCAATCCAAAATTTCGGGTGCCACGACACTCAGTTACAAGCTGCCGGGGGCCCGCCGTGCCGGCCGGGCGCTTTACGCCGCCGGAGTCTCAGGCAGTGCAGCTAAGTTCCCACGGTCCCGGGCCTGGGCGCCGCCGGCCAACTTTGCTTGGTGACCGGCCACCAGTGACCGGCGCCAGCCAGGCCGGGCGCCCGGCCTGGCGGCCAACACCCGGTTGGGCTCGGACGGGCCGCGCCCCGGCACCAATGACCAGGCGCCGCTGCGCCGTCCGAGACTGCGGCTTTTACAACGGCTGGGGATTTCTGGAGCAAACGTTGATGTTTACGAAATGCCTTGATTTGACTCATTTTGACTGTCAGCATTCGACTCTTTTTGTAGTAAAGTCTAAAGGCTTGTTGAAACGTTGCGATCTAAACGGTTAGAGAGGGATGTACCCCTCTACAACCTCGTCCGAGTACCCCTCTAGAAACTGACCAGTACCCCTCTCATCTGGCTAGTGCAGAGGGTCATAGGATCTCAAGATCTTCCAGTGACTGTCAGCTTTTGTCTGGGTGGATTCGGACCTTATTATTAGTATCTCCTCCTCACAGTCCTTCCATCCTGACTTGCTCCCCACGTGCTATCCTACCTCCCCTCTCATCGCTACATCCTTTCCTCTTCTTCCTTCTTCCTCGTTCACCTGCTCTCCCCCCTCTCATCGCTACATCCTTTCCTTGTCTTCCTTCTTCCTCGTTCACCCGCTCTCCCCCCTCTTATCGCTACATCTTATCCTCGTCTTCCTGCCTCTTGGTTTACCTGCTCTAATTTCCTCTCCTCCCCTTGTTCTTATCTCGCTCACATCTCGTGCTCACCCAAGAACAAGATTGAACTCTCTGAATATCATCGGATGGAAATGCCTGATATCACAATTCAACAAGATTGCTGCTTGAAAATCAACCGAGACAGACTGTGCGAGCCCAGGAGGAGGCTCGTTGAGGAGCTTAAAATGGAGCGCGAGGAGGAGATGAGGAAGGCAAGACACGGGTGTCCGAAGAGGAGGAAGCAGGTTGAGTGCTTGCTCAACAGCATTCGTTTCATAGAGGAGAAGAGAGTGATTCATGACTCTCAAGGAAACATCATGACATTGTGAAGATAGAAGTTATGGATTGCTCCACAAGAATGTTGATGTTCGAGGCGATGAAGTTGTAACTTACAGTGCGCATTCGAGATTGTAAAAGATGAACATGTAAGATTTGATATGTGGTGGGAATGAATGTGTAGATACCTCCTTAAGATGTTAAACAAGTCGAAAAGGAATGAAAATACGGAAATGAGCTTGATATTGATGCTTGTTTACCATGCTCTCACACAAAACGACAAGCTGCAATTCAACACAAACAACGAAACAGAAGAGATAGATGTTTCCACACGTACTCCTCCTCTAGCTCGATATCATCCAGGTTGACGCCGGTTTGAGCGTCTGTCCACAAGCACAGACGCAGACGCGGCCCTTGTCCTGTTCGAGGCAATCAGAGCAAGTAGAAGACGAGGAGGACGAGGAAGCTTTTTGCAGACATATAGGAGAACAAGAGCGAGCGGAGGAGAGGGTAGAACGATGCATCACCGAATCTGTAATGGTCTTCGCGCCATTCCAAACATCCACGTCAACACCCGCCTGCAAGCAAAGTGAGGAAGAGAAGAAGAACGAGGAGGAGAAGGGGGGGGGAGGGGGAGTAGACAAATGGTTGCGGTGATGGTGGTAGTATAGCAGAAGAGGAGGAGGAGGAGAAAGTTGGAAGAGGAGGAGAAGGAAACAGTAGGAGGAAGAGGAGGAGGAGGAGAAGGGGACGAAGGAGCAAGAGCTTTGCCTACCTTCTTGGACTTGCTGTCACATCGGAGAGTTTTGCTGCTCTGCAAAATAACTGGATGTCAGGAAACAATCCTGCTGGGACGGAGCGGGAGGAGGGAGGGAGGGAGGGAGGGAGGGAGGGGGAGGAATGAGGGAAGAAAAGAACTATAAAGCTGACAAGGATCGAACCTTTGTGTAAGAGCATCTCTTCATGCAAGTGCATCCGTAGTTGAATTTCTGCCAACTTGTGAGAAGGGAGGGAGTTGAGAAGGAGGTCAGACGATGAGAAAGAGGAGAAGCAGTAGCAGCATCGCAGCAAAGTGGAGGGTAGAAGGAGGAGGAGGAGGAGGAGGAAATTCACAGGGTCTGTGGCAGCAGCGATAAGCTCGATAGGTTTCCATTTCTGTAAGAAACATAAGAAGGTCAGAGAATGAGAGTGAGAAAACGGACATGAAGACGAGAGGGGAGAGGGGAGGAGAAAGGTAGGAGGGAAAGTAGAGGAGAAGGAAAGGGTAGAGGGCGAAGAGGAGAGTTGAGGGGAGCAGAAGAACAGGGAGGAGAGGGGACGAGAAGAGTGGAGAAGAGGAGGAGTGAAGTTGAAGTAGCTGGGGCAGTGAAGGTTTTAGATCTGCTCACCTTATCTTCATAGCCGTTTAGACCGTGACAACTTGAGCTATCAGGATTCGCATCACACCAGGCCTGCCAATCAAACGTCAACGAGTGTCCTTTACAACATCTTTATCTTTATCTTTATCTTTATCTTAATCTTTATCTCTATGTCCATATCTATCTTTATCTTTATCTTAATCTTTATCTCTATGTCCATATTTATCTTTATCTTTATCTCTATCTCTATCTTTATATCTATCTTTATCTTTATCTTTATCTCTCCCTCTATCTCTTTCCCAATGTCCACCTCTATCTCTATTCCTACCTCTACCTCTTTCTTGCGTTCCTGCGCTGCTCCTGCTCATTCTTAATCTGTTCCACTTTCATTCTTAATCTGTTCCACTTTCATTCTTAATCTGTTCCACTTTCATTCTTAATCTGTTCCACTTTCATTCTTATTCTGTTCCACTTTCATTCTTAATCTGTTCCACTTTCATTCTTATTCTGTTCCACTTTCATTCTTATTCTGTTCCACTTTCATTCTTATTCTGTTCCACTTCCTCCATGCGATGCAACTCTCACTTCCTGCTCCCAATCCCTAGCCATTTCTAATATCATCATATCTTCTATCATCATATCTTCTATCATCATATCTTCTATCATCATATCTTATATCATCTTATCTTGTATCATCATATCTTGTATCATCATCTCTTCACCTGTCCACTTGGCGCATAACACAAGCGATTAGCGTCAGTCCAACGACATCCGACCTCCGGCTGTGAATTCACTCAGCAAGGAGAAGAGAAAGAAAGAAGTCAAGATGAAGAAAATGTCGAGGGCGGAGGAGAGAGGAGGAGGGAGGAAGAGAAAGAAAAGAGAGAGAGAAAAGGAGACTGAAGGAAAGTGGAAGGGGAAAGAGGGGAAGGAAGAGAAGGGAGGAGGAGGAGCATCTTGTATGGTCACCGCTAGCGCTTGTTGACAATCTTGTGACATGCACTCAGCAAGTAGCGACATCTCGGCATCCGTCGACTTTGATACGCTTCAGTGAGCAACGATGCGAGGCAAGAGGAAGAGGAGGGAGGGAGGTGACGAGGAGCAGGAGGAAGAGAGAAAGACGAGGAGCAGGAGGAAGAGAGAAGAGGAGAGCGAGGAAAGAGGAGGAGAGGCAGAGCAAGATGGAGACGATGAAGGAAGAGGAGGAGAGGAAGAGGAGGAGGGAGAGGAGAAGGAGGAGGAGAGGCAGAATGAAGGAGTTAGTACAGGGAGACAACATTGGAAAACGGTAGAAGGGTGGAGGTTAGGAGGGGGAAGTGGTTACCAGGATAGATCGACCATCTCTGAATTTAGCACAGTTGCTGCGAGAAAATCCTCACGTCAACTCCTCCTCCTCCTCCTCCTCCTCCTCCTCTCCTATCTCCTATCTCCTTTTGCCTCGTGCCTCCCCTACAACCCCCGTCCTCAACTTCCCTTCCTCTTTCCCCGCCCCGCTTCCTTCGTTTTGTCCTCGTCCTCGTTTCAACTCTTACTTGTTTAAGATGGAGAGTCCTGTGGGCATTCCTGGTGCTGATCCAGCCCCGCCTACATCTCCAGCTCCAGCTCCAGCTCCAGCTCCTCCCTTTCCTCCGTCGCCTCCCTTTCCTCCGTCTCCTCCCTTTCCTCCGTCTCCTCCCTTTCCTCCGTCTCCTCCCTTTCCATTATTGTTCTTCTCCTTCTCCTCCTTCTCCTTCTCCTCCTTCTCCTTCTCCTCCTTCTCCTTCTCCTTCTCCTCTTCTTCCTCCTTCTCGATGACGCTCAGTCGTTTCCATTTCTTTCCCTTCTTCTTGTACAGCTCTGGGTACGGAGCCGCCCCGGGTGCCAGGGGAGGGACGAAGCCGTGAAGGTACACAAACTCATTGTTGGTATCAACTCCCTTGTACTGAAGCTCAAGACGTCCGCCTGAGTCTGTTAAACCAGGTGAGGAGAGAAAGAGAGGGAGGAGAAGCAGAACAAAGTAGGTTAGCAGCAGCAAAAACAGCAGGAGCACGAGCAGAGGCAGAACAGGGAAGAGGAGGAGGAGGGAGAGGAGAAGGAAGAGGAGGACGAGGACGAGGGGAAGGAGGAGGACAAGGAGGAGGACAAGGAGGAGGAAGAGGAGAAGGAGAGATATCTTACTCTTCTCGAAGAAGTCAACCTTGAAGAAGTGAAGTCCACGCATTAATCTGAACTTTCCTTGGATCGTTCTGAGAGGAAGTAAGAATGGAGAGTGGGAGAGCAAAAGCGAAGTGGAAAAGTAAGAAGAGGAGAAGA